TTTTTTTTTATCTCATCTAATTAGTTTTCTGAATTTAGATTTTGAGATTTTAAAAAAATAATACAAACAAAAAAAAGAAGAAGACATGAAAAAGTATAAATAAAAATTAGAAAATTTGAATTATACAAAGAAAAAGAAAAATAATGAAGAAGAGGAAAGAAAAATAAGAAAATAAATCGAAAAAAATGAAAAAACTTAGATAAAAAAAAATAATAATAAAACAAAGATATACAAGTAATAATAGATGAAGAAAAATATGAAAAAGAATAAACAAAAGAATAAAGTTTAAAATATGCATGTAATGTTTAAAAAAACAATCATTCATGTTTATTTTTATAAACAATAAATCGTGTTATTTAGATTCCACAATTTATCTATTTCTCTTAAACGTTTCATACCCGCACACGATCTAGTAACCAATTATATTATTAGCTCATGAACCACCGTAATATTCATTTCACGACTACAATAAGAAAATTGCTTGGTTTGGTTAGACTTAGAGCTAATACAAGATGATATGCATTAAAAAAATAATAATACAAATAATCATTATTAAAATGGAAAAACGAAAAAGGAAAGAATCCAGATCATTAATGTATTCTGTTACGCACGTTTTGAGGGTGATGATGGAGAGAATAAGCTTTTTACCGTGTTTCCATTTATTGTACAACCATTAAACAAAACCATTCTTCTTCTTCTTCTCTGCATTTTGCATTTTCTCCAGATTTCTATAATTTTTTTTATAGATAAAAAGTGTTGAATCGGATCGTTTCGATGGGAACGTTCACGAGCTTCCGAAAAGCCTATGGAGCGCTCAAAGATTCCACCACCGTCGGTCTCGCTAAGGTCAATAGCGAATTCAAGGTCAGATTTCAGTTTTTCTTTCTTGATTCACCACCATTTTGTGAACATTTTGATACGATTTCGGATGTGTTTTTTTTTTTGTAATTTGGATCGTCGTTATATAGGATTTAGATATTGCGATCGTCAAAGCAACGAATCACGTTGAATCTCCACCTAAAGAACGTCATGTTCGTAGTAAGTTTCTCTCTGCTTTTTCCAACGAATAAAAAAATCCTGAGAAATTACCAAAAATGTGAGAATTTCAACGAATGTTTTTGCAGAAATATTCTCGGCGACATCTGTAGTACAACCACGAGCAGATGTTGCTTATTGCATTCATGCATTATCAAAGAGATTATCGAAAACTCGCAATTGGGTTGTAAGTTTTCTAAATCTTTAGTTTCTTCGATCTTTCGGTAAAAATCTCTTTTTTTTTAATTTCGATAAAACAATACCATTTACAGGTAGCAATGAAGGTGTTAATAGTAATTCACAGAACATTAAGAGAAGGTGATCCTACATTTAGAGAAGAGCTTCTAAATTATTCACATAGAAGACATATACTCAGAATTTCTAACTTCAAAGACGATACAAGCCCTCTCGGTGAATGATCCAATTCCTCTGTTTCTCCATAA